TATGAGATAGAAGGGAAGTGCTATAAAAAGTAAATCAAAAACAAACCCAAGATCCAATGCAGGGTGCTTTATAGAGAGGGACAAATGTTTGCCTACTTACCTCGGTTCACTGGGAACTTCACCCGCCAGCATTATCAGACCTTCTCCCATAGTGGCAGACACATGTGTTTATGAAGGCAACGAGAGGTGACGGGGGAACCCTGAAAAATCAATCCATTTATTTTGTCATTCACTTATTGATTCTCTAACAAATTCCTATATTCTTCCAGACTTCCTACAATTTTAATGGGAGCATTTTGGAATCCTGGAGGCAGATAAAAATTGAGCGAGAAGCATAGGTCCTGAGTGCGAAAAACATTTTCTAATGAGTTAAGAAATGTGGACATGACTACGCAGGCAGTGTGGAGTCACTGATGATTTTAAGCATATAAATAGCATGATTCATTCATTCACTTTTGAATACTTTGACTATTAAAACTTAGAGTAATGCATTGTGTGTTATTAATTCAGATAAATGGACCACAGTCTGCGTATCATCCTTCAATTTGCTTTGTTCTCTCAAGATTCTGTTTTTGAGATCCATCCACCTTAATACCAGCAGATCTAGTTCTCTTATGTCCTCTTCTGCCATATATGTGTCTGTTACCTTCGTGGTAACATACGAATTGTTCTTTTCTTGGGGTTGAGGATGTAAGCGTAGAAAAAAGGGAGAAAGTAACATTAGGTAATCTGAGTACCTGTTTTGCATCAGACATTATGCTAGAACTGAGGACACGGGAAAAATAATACATTTATGGTGTAATGGGAGAGACAAGGAAGTAAGCAATAATCAAATTTGCATTTTAGGAAGAGTAATCCCCAAGCAGGTAGGGCCGATGGGGAGAAGGAGCAGTTGGATACTAGGGGGCAAGGAGAAGGAGTCTAGAATGGTCTGCAGGGGTCTGGATAAGACACCGAAGAAGTCCAAATAGAAGCAGTGGTAGCAAATAAGTGAGAAATACTATGGAGATGGGCCTACATGATTGATATAACGGGGGTGGCAAAGATGGGAAAGGAGCCCACCCTTGTCTTTCTCCAAAGCCTTGGCTTGTCCACCAAACCAAAGCACATGCTGTTAGAAGAGACAGAGGGTCACTATGTGGGGAGACCAGATGTTTGGGATAAAAGAGCATATAGCTCATAGGGCCTGCTCTTAAGAACCCTTAGTCCAGTGAGAGAGACAAACAATCAGTCTTTATAATATGGAGCAAAGCCACATTGTCTACACAAGTGTCCATCAGTGTTCACTGCCCCGCTATTCACAACAGCCGAAAGGTGGGAACAGCCCAAATGTCCATCACATACAATAGAATACACATACAATGGAATATTACTCAGCCATGAAGAGGAATGAATACCGGATGCATGCCACAACATGGATGAGCCTTGAAAACATGACAATGAGTGAAGTAAGTTCATCACAAAAGGACAAATACTGTATGATCTCACTAATATGAAGTACCTAAAAAACAAACAAAAACAAACCCATTGCCATGGAGTCAGTTCCGACTCATAGCGACCCTATAGGACAGAGCAGAACTTCCCATAGGGTTTCCAAGGCTGTAAATCTTTAGATGAGCAGATTGCCACCTCTTTCCCCTGTGGAGCGGCTGGTGGGTTTGAACCGCCGATCTTTTGGTTAGGAGGTGAGTACTTAACACTGTGCCACCAGCACTCCTATAGGCAAATATATAGAGATCAGAGTTTAACAGTGGTTCCTAGGGGCAGGAGGGAAGGGAGGAGGTGTCATTGTTTCGGAAGCACTAAGTTTCTGTTTACGGTGGTGCAAAATTTGGCAATAGGTTGCCCCACACGATTGACGTCATTGGTGTCAATGAATTGTACATGTGGAAAATGTTGAATTGGCAAATGTTGTCTTATCTATATTTTTACAGCAATAATTTAAAAACTGCGTTGTCTACTGACGTGCTAGATGTCTGCATTAGACGGTCACACAGGATGCACCACTGAGCCAGCCTGTGACAGTAAAGACGTATTTCCAAGAGACGGTATTATTTGAGCTGAGATCGAAGGACAAGCAGGATTTAGACAGAGAAAGAAAACAAGAAGAACAACAGAAAAATGAGTTCAATAGCATTCTAGGCAGAGCAGACAGTTTGCAGGCTTATACGACCAGGCTGTAGCATACTAATAATGACAACCAGTTATATAGCGCCAGGCACAGTTCTAAGCTTATTTCATCCTCATAACAACCCCATAAGATGTTGTTGTTGTTAGGTGCCATCGAGTCACCTCCGACTCATGGCAACCCTATGTACAACAGAACAAAACACTGCCTGGTCCTGCGCCATCCTCATGATCAGTGTTATGCTTGAGCCCATTGTTGCAGCCCCTGTGCCAATCCATCTCGTTGAGGGTCTTCCTCTTTCTCACTGACCCTCTACTTTACCAAGCATGATGTCCTTCTCCAGGGTCTGGTCCCTCCTGATAACATGTCCAAAGTAGGTGAGACAAAGTCTCACCATCCTTGCTTCTAAGGAGCATTCTGGCTGTACTTCTTCCAAGGCAGATGTGTTTGTTCTTTTGGCAGTCCACAGTATATTCAATATTCTTCACCAACAGCAGAATTCAAAGGCATCAATTCTTCTTTGATCTTCCTTATTCATTCCCCAGCTTTCACATGCATATGAGGTGATTGCAAACACCATGGCTGGGTCAGGCTCACCTTAGTCTTTAAGATAGGTAGTATTATTGCTATCATGTCCATTTCCTGGATAAGTTAACTGAGGCAAAAACCAAAACAGCTGCTGTTGAGTCAATTACAATGCATGGAACCAGAGTAGAACTGTGTGTCGGAGTAGAACTGTGCCCCATAGGGATTTCAATGGCTGATTTTTTGGAAGTAGATTGCCAGGCCTTTCTTCTGAGGCACCTCTAGGTGGACTTGAACCTCTAACCTTTTGTTAGCAATTGATCGTGTTAACTGTTTGCACCAACCAGGGACTCCTTACTAAATACACAGAGACTGTATTTTCCTTAATTTCTCAATGAATAATTTTTTCAGATCATTTGGGCACCTGAAAAATGTTTCGGCCTTTAAAAAAAAAAAAAGATTGGTTTCTAGTAATTTATATCAATCTCACTTTATAGATGAGTCAGCCTAAAACAAAAAATTATTTTCCCAGGACCACAAAGTAAGACAGCAACGGAGGAGCCTGGACTAGAACCCAAACAATACAACAAATTGGTGATAATTACGGGCTTTGAGACAGAGAGGTAGATGTAAATCCAGGCTCCGTCACTTATTAGTTCTGTAGACCGGAGCATGTTACTCATTTGCCCTCAGCCTCAGTTTCTCCATCTATAAAATGACAATGAAATTCTTATATCAACCTCGCAGAGCTGTTACCAGAATCCAAAGAGACAATGTATATAATTGCCACACAGTGTCTGCACATTGTTGCAATTGTATTATTATTGCTATTGTTCCTGATTTTTTTTTTTTTTTTGGTAATTATATTATTTCAAATCACCCAGATCTCCACAACTGCAATTCAGTGTCCAGTGGTCTCTCCATGTCTCATAATATCCCAGGCAAAACGCTCTGGCTTCTGGGCGTGTGTGTATGCCCATCCCTGTCTTCATCAACAGAAACACCTACTGTGGCTACATAAACTTGGCTCAGTGATTTGTTGTCACTGTAGCTGAAATGACCAATCTTGGTGAAAGGGAACACAGTGTCCTGACTCTGTCACCAATCAAGGAATTTTGTTTTCAATTGTCAAGTCCTTCAAAAGGCTTGGGCTTTCCCGCTGACTTACTCATTCTTTATTCTCTTTCTGCTAGTTGGCAGAAGTCATCTAAAATAAGATGCCAACGTGCAGGTTCCAGGATGAGAATTTAGATGTCACCTGAAGAGCTTCTTCATTGTCACATGCTCAGATGCAAACATAAATAAGCACAAATAAAAGGCAGGGGTGGGTGAGGGAAACAGGAACACCAATGATAGGAGGGGCTGGTTCACTCTGTGTCATGGCTGAGAGAAGATTGATCACAACATTTCATAGCCCAGACGAAGAAAACTCAGTCAGGGACCCTAATGACATCCTCTTGGTCCAAAGAGGCCCATCACTCTTGAAACAATGGTGCTCACATTCGAATCTCCGAATTGGCACTGTGGATTGCCCACGTCTGTTCAACTATGGGCACAGATAGTTCAATATTCTCCGTGGATTTCTGATTCTTTAAAACAATTTCCTACCCGCTTCAATATCTGTCACATTCTCTCCTCGGCTTTCTTCTGCAGTCTTTGCTGCTATCTTTCCTTCTTGGGCTTATGAAGACATTCACTCCGCTTAAGGAGATCATCAATAAAGATCAGTGCTATGATTAGTCAAGAACAAAGCTCTGCCTTACCCGAGTTTGCTGCCAAGTCAACATCACACAAGTCCCCACCTTCCTTTATCTCAGGATTTCAGATGTTGGGAAGTATTTTCAAATGATACACAATTAAATCTTCCTGGAATGAGAGAATTTCAGGAGAAACATTTGGCGGGCAATGCAGGCTTTGCTTCAGCACTAATTACTGTCACAATGAGTGGGGACAATCCATGGTTCTTCATAAGCCACTTGAGTAGGACTTCAGGGTCTGAATGAGTCTTTTATAAATATGAAGTGGCTCAGGTGTAGGTTAGTAGCAGGCATTTAGTTGATTGGCTTGCCCCGTGTCTGTTCTCTTTCTTCGGGTAACAGAATATCTCTTTTTCCTCTGTGAAGTTCCCCACCCTAATCCAACAGTCCTCCTAATCAATGAGATGTGACTCTTGCTTACTAATCAAAGCATACTGTCTTAGTTACCTAGCGCTGCTATAACAGAAATACCACAAGTGGATGGCTTTAACAATAGAAATTTATTCTCTTACAGTCTAGGAGGCTAGAAGTCCAAACTCAGGGTGCCAGCTTCCCGTGGCAAAGCAGCGGCATACCCAGTGCCCAGAAAGATGGAGCTCAAGGCCATGAGCAGGCATACCAGCCCAGTGAACCCAGCTGTCTTCCTCCATCTGACCATGGTGTTGTTGGCCACTGGCCTGTTGTTCACTGCCTGGTTCTCTGTTTACGAGGTAACCTCCACCAGGTACACATGGGATACCTACAAAGAGCTCCTCATCTCCTTGGTGGCCTCACTCTTCATGGACTTTGGGGTCCTCTTCCTGCTGTTCTGGGTCGGCATCTACATATGACTCCCAAGGATACCAACCAGGTAGCTTCACTGAATCCCTGCTTTTGTAAATTAGTTTTTTTTTTTTCTTTAACTATTGCTGGAAGAGTCCCGCCTGCTGCTCACAATAAAGGCAGAT